ACCCCCGCCGCCCCCCCCCCCCCCCCCCCCCCTTCCCCCCCCCCCCCTCCAGCACCGACTGCAAGGAGGAGAAGCGCAAGCCGCCGGCGCCACCGCCGGCCCGCAAGGTCCTGAACGCTGGCGGCGGCGGCGGAGGCGGGGGCGGCGGCGGAAGCGGAGGCGGCGGCGGAGGCGGAGACGGCGGCGGAGGCGGAGACGGCGGCGGAGGCGATGGGGGCGCCGCACCCGCCGCTGCGAGTGGCGCGGCTGGAGGAGCGGAGGGCGGGGAGCAGGCCACTGCGAGTGGAACGGCCGGAGGAGCGGCGGAGGGCGGGGAGGACGCCCCTGCGAGTGGAAAGGCTGGGGCGGAGGCGGAGGGCGGGGAGGAGGGCGAGGCGGCGGCTGGGCTGGTGACGGAGTCCGAGGGCTACCGGCTGCACCTGTCCTCAAGAGGCGGGGGGCCGAGGAAGCTCAAGACTGACGGCAAGAGCTCCACGGGCTACCTGGGTGTCTCCCGCCGCGAGGACTGCGGCAGACTCAAGTTTGTCGCGCAGGTGAGCCTGCACGACGGGCATCGCATGCGGCTGACGTACCTCGGCGTCTTCCCCACCGCGGTGATGGCGGCGGTGGCGGTCGCCAAGGCGAAGCTGCGGTCGTCCTCCGCCGCGCCCGCCGCGCCCGCCGTGCCGGCCGCTGGCGGCGGCGTGCCAGACCCCACCTGCGGTCCCGGAGGCGGCAGCTTTGGCGGCGGCATCAACATGCTCGGCGAGCTCGGTGATCTCCTCGGCGTCGGCGAGCTCGGCGGCCCGCCCGCCGCGCCTCCCGCCGCGCCCGCTGCGCCTCCCGCTGCGTGGACGAGCGACGCGGCCTTCCCGGAGCTGGGCGAAGGCTGGCGGCTGCTCTCGAGGCGGCGCGAGGTGCTTGTCGAAGGCAAGACGACCACGCGCGTCATCAAGTGCTACATCGACCCGCGCGGCAAGCGCTACTCGTCGCTCAAGCAAGCCAAAGCGGCAGCCGGCGTCGAGCCCGATCGCTTTGGTTTGCTCGATTCCTTCGCCGCCATTGCCGCCGCCGCCGCTGCATCCGCCGCCGCCGACGCCGCCGGCGGCGGCGCTGCATCCGCCGATGCCGCCGCCGCCGCTGCCGCAGCGTCGTCGCCCCACGAGCCGATGGACCTCGAGTCGTCCTCGGCACCCTCCGGCCGCGCCAGCAGCGCGGAGGTCGCCATCGACGAGGCCGATCGGATGGACGACGGCGCTTCGACAGCCACGTCCGACAGCGCCCCGTCCGATACGGGCCCCCTCTTCGCCGCCGACGGGGCTTGCGCCTCGGAGGCGTCGCGCTCTCGCGCCATCGAACCGCCGGTTAACCGCCGAGCGACGCTCGTGGTGGGACAGAAGCAGCGCCCGCCGCTCACGCTCTCGGAGCCGCAGTCCGCGCCTTGGCCACCGGGCGAGGAGCTGGAGATGCTCGAGCGGCTCGCACAGCTCGAGAATCGCAGGGGTTGCCTGCTTTGAGGCGCTCGCTGGCAGCCCGCGGCGGAGCGAGGGGTGCGAGGGTGCGGATGGGGTCTGACGTACACAGAACACAGCAAGAGCTGAGCGAGAGGGAACACGCATCGCGTGTCAACTGTCACATGCTATCGCGGCGTGGGTCCCAGAGGGGACGCAGCGCTCGCAGGAGGTGTACTGTCGGTCCATTTGGAAAAGTTCCGTTGCCGTAAGTCTTTGTCTGGTGTACTGTATCGCTTCACATAGAGCAGAGAGGCAGCGGTGGCACCCGCGCCGCCGCCCTGGGGCGCCTGTCACTCTGTGATGGTGAGGCTGTCGGTCAGCCACGTGCCGCTGTGCAGCGAGAGCTGCCAGGTCACCACCGTCCACGACTCGTCGCCGCTCCGCCGGACGAGCGCGTCCTGCAGCACGACCGACCCGTCTGGGTCGACGGCCTCGGGCTGCTCGCGCTCGACCTGCAGCTCGTCCCACTCGGTCATGATCGCGTACCACGGCTCGCGCAAGTACGCCTCGAAGCCCTGCGGCGAGAGGCGCGACGCCGCGTTTGACGGCGAGCAGTACCGGATCGCAACCTCGCACCCGTGCAGCGGGTGGGGCTCGTCCGGCGTGCGCAGCGCGCGCATCACCTTCTCGACCACGTCCGCGGGCGAGAGCCGCTGCTCCGCCTACTCACACGCCCGACGCCGTGAAGAGGCGCCGTCCGCTGCTTGCCGTGTGATCAGGCGCGCGGCTCTGCCATCTGCCGCTTCCGCCAGCGGCTGATCGCGGCGGCAGCCTCGGCGGGCAGCGCGAGGGCGGCCGCCTCGAGGTCGTCGCTCTGCGTCGAGTCGGGCTCCTGCACGAAGACCGTCGCCACACGCCACTCCTCGTGCCCTCCCTCGGCAAGGACCCGGGCGAGGATCCACCGGATGCTGACCCACGCTGCTGTCGGAGAGGAGCGCACCCCCGCCTGCTGGTAGGCCTCGGCGCCGTTGCCGAGGAGGACGAGGTCGCCGTCCCACCGCATCTCGCTCCACTCGACCAGCGGCCGGTACCACTCCTGCGAGAGGTAGTCTGCAAACTGCTCGAGGCTGCGCTGCGACGCCGGGCTGTCGGGCGACAGGAAGCGCATGGCGACCTCGGAGCCGAAGCGCGCGTACGGCGTGTCCTGATTCCGTCTATGCAGCGCGCACATGACCGTCTCGATCACCTCGCGTGGCTGCAGCGCCGGCGACGGCTGCGCTGTTGCGAGGGCGGCCGACTGCGTGTCGGTCGGGCCGCCGCCGCCGCCGGCGGCGGCCGCCAATGTCGCGGCAGCGGTGGCGTGGCGAGGGGACACGGCCGGCAGTATCGATGGCTGGGACAGCCGTAGCGAGCGCAGCGCTACGAGAGGCGCGGCCAAAAGCAGGAGCGAGCCAAGCATTGCTCGCAAAAAGAATTTTGGGCGCTCACGTCCAATTCCCAAGATATAAGGCGAAAGGGTCTAGATTTGGGGCGCTCGCCGAAGAGGAGTACGACAAAATAGCGCCCGTGATTGCCTGCACGCTACCCGCACTCACGGACTCCATACCCGAAAGAAAGAGAAGGGAGCTCGCGGGAGAGGTGACGAGTGAACTACAGGTAGTGGGGAAGGCAGCCTCGATTGCCATACAGACATGGGTGCGAAACAACGACAAGACCAAGGCACGGGCAGAGGAACGAGAGAAGAATATAGGGTGGATAAAGCGCCTGTTCACGGGATGGAGGGTGAGCCACACCGAACCCCGTACCGAGCGAAGAGCCGAGCGGAAGGAGGACGGGGAAGATGACTCAGAGGAGGACGAACCAGTGGAAATTCAGTTGTCAAAAAGAATTTTCACCTTCAGCGTGACGAATTTGCAACGTACAATTCCCAAGATACGTACTGAGGATGCGGGATTTCATGCGCGGCACGGACAAAACCCAGACTGGTCTCAGGCAGCAGGTTGCAGCCCGAGGTAATCCTCGAGCTGCTTCACCTTGCCCAACAAACCCGACCCGACGGGGGTGATGCCCAGCACCGCTGCCGCATTCCGTACCGTCGCGGGCAAGTTTGGCCCCGGTTCCAACCCGAGCGCATCGCAGATGCGCCGCAGCCTGAACGGCAGGGGAGCTGCAGGCCGCTCCGGCGCCCGAGCCTCGCGCAGTGCAGCCGCATGCGCTGCCTCCGCCTCCTCCCTCGCCGCGGCTGACGACGCTGCGGCCGCCCTCAGCGCCTGCAATTTAGTCTTGGAGGCAGCGGCCAGGACCGCCGCCGCCACCGCCGCCCTCGCCACCCTCGACGCTGCCGCCACCTTTGCCGCCACGTCCGCCTCGCATGCCTCTGTCTCGGCGACCGACGCAGCCTCCAAGGCCCTCGCCACCGCGACAGCTGCCTCCGTTGCCATAGCAGTGGCCGCTAGTCGTCCCGCATCCGCTCCTCCATCCCTAGTCCCCGCCACCGCCCGGGCCTCAACTGCCTCCTCAGCCTCCGCCACACGCGCAGCAGCTGCAACCTCCGCCCCGTGAGTGAGCGACTCAGCGACGGACAGCCGCTCCGCCACCTCCGGCTTCTCATCTGACGGCCGCAGTGCCTCTGCTGGCGCCGCCGTCTGCTGTGGAGCTGCCCGCCCCGTCGCCCCGTCGCGCGCAGCCGCCTCGCGTTTCGCCGTCTCGACTCGCCTCGCCTCCTGCTCCGCTGCGAGCTGCGCCGCCTTCTCCTGCTCCATGCGAAGCTCAGCCGCCTCCTGCGCCCTCCGCTCCTCCTCGAGCTTGAAGGCGGACTTCGCCTGTTTGGCCTTCTGATTCTTCTCCTTCGCCTCCTTCTTGGCCGCCTTCTGCTCCGCCGCCTTTGCCAGCAGCTTAGCCTTTTCCTCCTCCGCCCGCTTCTTGGCCGCCTCCTCCTTGCGCCGCTCCTCCTCCGCCATAGCCGCGTTGCGAGCCGCTGCCGCCGCCCGCGCATCCGCACGTGCTTGCTCCTCGGCTGCGAGCCTCTCTGCCTCTTTCACCCGCGCCACCTCCTGCGCCGCCGCGCGCTCGCAAGCGAGCTTCGCCTCCGCCTCAGCCGCAATCGCGCGCCTCTGCTCCTCCAGAGCCGCCGCCTCCGCTTCTCGGCGCGCCTCGTCCGCTGCCCGCTTAGCTCTGAGCCGCTGCGCCTCCTCCTCTCGCTTCTGCGCCGCGGCCGCCTCGTCTCTCGCGCGCTGCTCGCGTCGGCTCTGGGCCTGGAGTGCCTTCTCAGCCAACCCCTCCGCGTGCTTCTCTGCCTTATGAAGGCGGCGCCGGAACAGCATCTCAGACGACAGTTTGCTCACCAGCGAGGGGGGCGCAAAGAAGGTGATCGGGTTCATTATGGATACTCCGAAGGCGGCCTGGAACTCGTCGTCTAGCTTTTTCAACTCTTTGCTGCTGTAGGCGGAGCCTTGATAGACCATAGCCACTTGCGATCCCTCAAAGATTAGTTCGAAGTACAAACCCTCCTCAAAACAGTTGTCGTCACTACTCGATAGCGGTCCCGCCGTAGCTCGCGCATAGAAGCAGGAAGCTAGGCCAGAGGCCGCGTCGCGTTCGCTGTAACAAGTTTGATCCAAACCGAAACCAAAACACGGATCTCCAAACCAAAAAGGGATGAAATCCCTTATGGATATAATCGCCAAATTATCTCAGGAACATAGTGTGAATGCCCGGGAACAGCCCCTCCTGGCCCGAGTGCGGGGCGCGAGGGACAAACAAATTCAGAGGGCATGAAAGTCGTCAAGCTGCTTGATCAGGCCAGTAAGTAAAGATGGCCCGCGAGGCAGCCTTAGTGAGCAGGTCGGCGAGCATCACGACGCCGGGGAGGTGTTCGACAGAGATAACGCCACGGCTGACGAGATCGCGAAGGAACTCGGCGGCGCGCAAGATGTGCTTGGTCTTCTTGAAGGCAACGGGATCGAAGGCCATGCCGACGGCGGATTTGCTGTCGCAGTTGATGACGCTGGCGCCGTCGATGGAAAATCCAAGGTCGATCAGTAGCTCACAGATGAAATTACCTCCTTGGCGGCTAGCATGGCGCCAAAGAACTCTGCCTCGGCACTAGACAGCGTGACGGATCGCTGCATTTTGGAGAACCAGTGGAAGAGACATCCGTAGAAGAAGAACATGCCACCGGAGCAAGAGAACTTCGTTGCCCAGTTTGAATCGACGTAGCTCTCAAGGTTGCGGTTGGGGTTCGGCTGCATGACGAGGGCGCGGTCAGCTGTGTCGCGCACGTAGATAAGCACCCGGATGGCGGCTTTAAAATGCGACGGGCCAGGGTTGGTCATGAAGCGAGCAAGCTGAGACGCTGAATAAGCAATGTCGACGCGCGTCATGTTGGCAAGCCACAGTAGTCCGCCGACGATGTCCCAGGGCCTCTACGCCGCCGACCTCGTTACCAAGTTCAGCGCCTATTTCGATCGGTCCCGCTCACGCCGCTTCGACTCGCCCATGGAAGAGGGGCTCGAACTGTCCGCCGATGATCAGCCCGCCGTTGGATCTGTTGAACACGACGAGATGTCCGAGTTCCGCACCGCCTACTAGGGGGCTGGGTTGTCGCAGAAGGTCCGTGCCCCACGATGGTTAAAGCCGTCGAGCCGAGTTGACTCTTGGGGCATGGGTGCACATGTACATGTGCATGAGCTGACTGCGAAGGGGCGGAAAATCAAAGTGGCCGCCGTGAGTGAATGACGCCTCAGGGGCAGGCTGTGGCATGTGCTCTATAGCCTGAGAGGTCGTGTGGGGCGAGGCGCACGTGTCCTCAAAGTGTTCTGACCCACATTCCAATTTATCGACAAAACTTTCAGAAATGGATTGTCGATGCAAATGGCAGGCTCGAACGTGCTCGAAGAGACCGACTGGACCCATTGTTCAGGTCCTTCGGCTCGACTGGGGTTGTGCTCGCACACGCCAGGCGCCCAGGTGGTGGCTGACATATAGGGTGCAAGACTTGTCCACCATGGTAGCGTACACGTTGGAGCTGCCATGGTGGTCGATGCTGTCATGTCGCTGGTGGTGTCGGCCTCGGCGATGCAATAGTCGAGGCCAGACTGGCCGGAGGATAAGCCATACTCGATAGCGGTCCCGCCGTAGCTCGCGCATAGAAGCAGGAAGCTAGGCAGAGGCCGCATCGCGTCAGCTGTATACGTTTTACCCAAAACCGAAACCAAAACACGGATCTCCAAACCAAAAAGGGATGAAAATCGCTTACGGATATAATCGCCAAATTATCTCAGGAACATAGTGTGAATGCCCGCTCCCCGCGGGTTGATGGTTGTAGCTGACCGCAGATTGGTTTTCCCCCTCTTTTCGCAAGCCACCTTGCCCGCCAAAAGAAAGCCAATTCTTGACTTGGGCCCTCTTGCGGGCGGCCTTCTCTCGAGGTCTCGAGATACACAAAGCGGCCACAAGCCACCCATCGGGCACCATTCGGTTGTCTTCCCCTGGAAAGTATCGAAAAGTGTATGGCGTCGGTGCTCCCTTCTCGCTGTGCTCCCTGGTCCCTCACCGCTCAGAACTGGCGTGTGATGGAGACGTGGCAGCGGGCGCTGCGCGGCACGCGGTTCGTCGATATCAACCTTGGCGACCCGGCCGCTGGCTTGCGTGGCTCAGCCGACTGCGGCTCGGGCCTGCGGTACGCGCTTGGACGCTTCTCGCCGCGAGCGCCGCTGCGAGAGCTCGCTGCTCTGTCGGCCTCCAAGGCGCGGCCGGGCGAGGTGATTGTGCTCAAGGCGCAGGCGCCGCTGCTGGGCGGCTGCACGAGCTTTGGGCGGACACCCGCCACCCTGCTGCTGCACAATGAATCCTGCGAGCTCGTCAACTTTGTGACCGAGGAGGCGCGGGGACACTCCACGCTCCTCAGCTTGGCGCTGCGCTCGCCTAACGCCCACCGCCTATCGCAAATCGCCTACCTCTATGCCGAACACCTGGCGCCGCCGGCCCTGCCTGCGCCGCGGACCCCTGTGTATCGATCCTGCGACATGGATGTGGACGAGAGTGATGCCCCAGAGGTGGCGCCCGCATTTTGGATGCGGTTGTATGTCGAGTCGCTGCCACAGGGGCCCTTTGAGTGGTGAGTTTGCGAGGTATGTGCTGTCACCTTGTCTGGTAATGAAGTTGTCTAGCTCTCTAGGCTGGGTCGTTGTTTTTTGTTTTATACAGAAGACGTCATGATGTCCACAAACACGAGAGAACTAGTCAACAAAACAAAAGTGTCAAGACTAAGCTACATCAACACACTGTCGCTACAAAATTGCGCACACGGCTAAACGTAGTCTCCATGCCTAAATCACAATTTCAACACACTCTGCGTCCACCGCGCACCGGTCCAGGGTGCGTGTCCACCCTAGTCCACATGCACGTGCATGGGTATGGACATATGTATGTTCATGCACGAGAGAGGCGCTAAGAGAAAGGCCCTATGATTGGATCCTACAGCAGCATGGCGCATCTGTTTTCGGGCACAGCGATGGGGACTCTCTCGGGCACCTTTCGGTGCGGCGCCTTAGTGGCCGTGCACGCAGCGGCGCTTCTGTGGCGCCGATGCGGGGGAGATGCCAGAGCCGGCGTAGAAGGCGAGCGGCCTCGCCGGCGACGGGCCAGAAGGGAAGCCCTGACGCTCGGGCGGCACCGAGGGCGAGGGCGAGGAGCCTGGCAGCGATGGCGGCGGCAGCGATGGCGGCGGCGAAGGCGGCTCGGGATCGTTCTCGCTATCGCTGCTGCAGCCATCACTGTCCTCGTCGGGGGCGGGCAGGCGCTCGATCCATCCGAGAGCGGGCTTTGGTGAAGCCGCTGCCCCCAGCCCGCGCGACTCGCACGCCGAGGATCGGCGTGATGTGCCCGACGCGGACGGCAGCGGGGACTGCCAGCTGCACGACGAGCGAGCGTACGGGGACGGCTTCGAGATGGAAGGGGAAACGTGCGGGGACGGCTTCGAGATGGAAGGGGAGAACCACCAGCCGGGCACTGCAGCGTCCTCCCGGCCGCCTTGGCGGGCGTCGAGCTCGCGCCGCGAGGGCTGGGAGCGGGAGAGCTCGTCCGACGATGAGGGAAGATGGGAGCCGCGGGAGTGCCGGCAAGATGAGGAGAGGGCGAGCGGACTCGGCCTGACCGGGTTGAGCTCAATCGCACGCCTCGTCTCGCGCTTGGAGTGCCAAGCTGGCGAGTCCTCGGTACCGGCGGCGCGAATGACGTAGCGAAAGTCGTCCTCGTCCTCACCTGGCTGCCCAAAGGTGAGCACGCTGCCCTCACGCAGCTGGGCGCTCGCCACCTCCTCGGCCGTAGACTGCAGGAGGACCGGCTCGCCACCTCCTCCCGGCTGCTGCACGCGGCACCCGTTCTTGCGCGAGACGTCTTCGAGCCGGACGCTGCGACCGTCGGCGGCGACGTGGAGCACGGCGTGCTGGCGCGAGATGTGCTGCGTCTTGAACAAGGCCACGCCGCTCGACGCGTCGCGACCGACCGTGAGCGTGGCGCCGGGAGGCAGCGCGATCGGCGACGGCCGGCCGGCGCGAGCCCCGTTGACGCCCGCATCCAGCGCGAGCTCCAACGGCCAGCGAGCGGCGGGGGCCGCCGCGGTGTCCGACAGCGCCGGCGTCGAGGGCTGGCTTCCGAGCCGCGAGAGCTCTGCAGACAGCTGGTGGATGTCGCGGCTCTGCTGGCTGATGAGCGAGCGCTGCGAATGCACCCTGCTGCGCAGCTCATCGACAGTGCCGTAGGTGTTTGGCTCGGTGGAGACAGAGATGTGCAGCAGGAGGCAGCACGAGTCGATCCGCGTGCCGCTTGGCGAGCGCAGGTGCAGGCAGCGGTAGCCGCAGCGGAGGGAGCCGAGCATCGCGGTCTCGTACGCCACCAGCCGCCCCTCGTCCTCCACCACAACGCGGAGGATGGTCTGGTGAGGCTCGGCCGCGAGGCAGTGGAAGGTCTCGTCAAAGGTCGGGTTGAGACCGTTGCCCTCCGCGACCGCGGTGGTGAGCCGCGTGACGCCCTGCGCCTCGGGCGGCGGCTGCGGCTCGCGTGCGACCGCGCAGAAGCCTCCGATGGCGTGCAGCTCGACGGCGACGCGCGGGCTCGACACGCTGGCGCTGGCCCCGCTGGGCGGGCGGGGGCTATCGCTGAGGTGCGAGACGACGGCGTGGTGCCGCTCGGTGAGGAGGGGCCGGCACTCGTCCCGCGTCGGGAGCTGGTGCAGGGAGAGCACCTACGCGGCGGTGGGTCGCTCGGTGAGCTGACGAGAGGGAGAGCTGAACGGGGCGGCAGCAAGGCGCAGCGGTGCCTTCAGCTCCGTCCGATGCACCTCCTCCCGCGGCGGCGGCCACGGCTTCCCCCGCCCTGCCCCCTCGCGCAACACCCGATCATCGCCAGAGCCACCGCGAGCCGGGGTCACGGGGCCCCTGTTGGTTGGGGTCGGGGGCTGGATCGCCCGATCGGGCGCACGGAGCGCCGCGGGCTTGAGGACGTAGCCACCGCTGCCGTGAAAGAGGGCGTCGTGGATCTGCACCGGCAAGTCGTTCGTTTGCAGGTTGAGCGCCACCATCTGCACACCCGCGCGCCACGCCACCTGTGGCGGAGGGGAACGGTCCTTAGAGAGGGATGCGGGGCCTTAAGCGAGGTGGTGAGAGCGAGGGCGGGCGCGCACGAGTGGGTTGTTGTTGGTCGACCACCACCGAGTCGGAGAGGGGTAGGTTCTCACGAGCTGCGAGGCGATGAGGGGCAGCAACCGTCCCTGCTCGCTCGCCAGCCGCTCGAGCCGCTCCTCAGACAAGCTCACGACACCGCGGCGCGGCTCGCCCGCCGGCTCCTCCGCAAGCCACGAGACGCCCTGCAAGCCGGGCGAGCCCGGAGACCCGAAAGGCGACTCGGACGTCAGCGTGGCTCCGCTGTCGCCGTCGCCTCTTGTGCGGTCGAGAGGCACGCCGCGGAGCCAGTCCCAGACGCCACGGTGGAGGGGGCGGCTGCAGCGGAGCTCCTTCCAGCTCGCCGTGCGACCGAGCCGCCTGCCGCTGTCGTCCTCGTCGGGCGGCGATCGGCCGATGGAGGTCGTGGGCAGCGTGACGAGCGAGCGGAGGAGCGGGTCCGTGGTCACGCCGCCCTTGTCGAATCGCATCTTGATTAGCACCTTTCGGCGCAGCTCGCGGAGGGGCGTGCTCGCGACGCGGTCGCTGCGCGAGAGCAAGTCGCCCAGCGTGTTGATGAGCTCCTTGGCGATCTTGTTCTGCTGCTTCGCCGAGCAGTGCATCTCGATGCTCAGAATCACGGGCAGAGGGCTGGCGGTGAAGGCGTGCTCGGCGATCGCAGCGACCACCTCGCCGAAGGCGACGCTTCCGCAGAGGAGAGGGACGCCTCCGCGCGTGGGGCCAATCATGCGGTGCGTGACGCGCGCCTGGCCCCACCACCGCGGGTCCCAGCAGTCGATCTCGAGGCAGCGAGTCCCCGAGAGCAGGAGGCGGCGGTACATGTCGGCAGACACGGCGGAGGTGAGCTGGTCGCCCTCGAGGAAGCTATTGTGCGACGAATCGATCCAGTAGCTGGTCAGCGGCTCGGTCGCATCCGTGGGGGAGCGCCTAGGCTCGATGGCGCTGTTGCACGGCGAGAGCAGGAGGGAGGCGAACTCGTGCACCGAGATGGGCTCAGAGTCGACTGGCTCGGACGACTCCCTCGCCGCCTGCCTCGAGGCAGAGTCGCGGTGGACTGACGCGTCGCGATGCTTCTCCTTTGAGCGGAGGGCGCGGAGAGCGAGCTTCCACTCTTCCCACAGCTGGCGGCCCCCAGCGCCCTGCTCGCTGAGGCAGAAGCGAAGCAGGGCTCCCATGTTCAGTGACACCTGGGACTGCTCGACGAAGGGCACGGTGCCCAGCGATGACATCCTCGTCAGCCTCGGCCCCGCCTCGAGGTCTGCGTGAGCAAGATGGTCAGTCCGGCGTCCGTCATTGCAGCAGCCGCTGCGCTGAGTGCAAGCCGCGGTCCCGCACCTCGATACCAGCTTCTCGACACACGCCTCGATGAAGGGCGTCGTGTTCCGAGTCACGTAGAGCCACGCGCGAAGCTGCGCAGCCTCGCGCGCGGCCGTCCCCCACAGCTTCTGCTCCAGCACCGAGCTCCACAGGCGCTGCTCCACAAATGGGAGCCGCTCGACGTCGGGCGGGCCCTCGGTCGGCTCCTTGTTCGCCCTGCGGCAGATTCGCTCCCACACGGCGTGCCGAGCGGCGTTAGGGCGCAGCAACGGCGCAGTACGAGCCCTGCGGCACGCCCGCCGCACCGCTCGTGCGCAGCCGACGCAGGCGCGCACGGGAGCGATCCGAGCGATTCGCCTGCGGAGCAGCGTCCACGGGCTCGTGCCGTGAGACGCGGCGATGCGCGATAGCGGCAGCCAGCTGAGCCAGCTGACGGAGAGGCAGCTGCAACAGTACAGGCACAGCAGCAGAACGACGCACGCTGCCACGGCGCACACGGCCGCTTTCTCCCACGGCCTGAGACCGTCCGGCGGCGACGATTCAAGAGGCGATTCAAAAGGCGGTTCGGTCTCTCCATAGTTGAAGATCACGCCGCTGCTCTCGCGCGAGCCGCCCTCCCAAGCCCATGTGCTGTTGGTGAATTGTGCTACGCGTTTCTCGGAGAAGCCGCCTTGGTCGAGTAGGTTGAACAGCTGCACATTCGCGCTGCTCCGGTCGCCCTTCTCGTCGAACTCAACACGCCCGGAAAGGCCGTCAAAGGACAGGCCCTGCTTGGCCTCCCAGAACCGCGTGCCAAATGACGCCGGCAGCGGGCCCGTTGGAGCCACTTGGCACGAGAGCAACCCTGCGGCTATGATAGCATCGTAAGCAAAGGTGCCACCCTCGCGTAGCACTGCGCTCGTGTTTGGGTCGACGGTGCTGAAAAAGTCGTCGCGGATCTGCCAGTCGGCGTGTAGGAACTGGTTGAAGTCTCCGGGCTGAAGCTCCGGCCAGCGGTCGTTGGCAAAATGGGTCCACTGTAGGTTGCTATCCATCGCGCCGACCGCCTTGATTTGCAGGCTGCCGTGCAGCGCGGCCTTCGCCTCCTCGCTCAATTTGGAAAAGGTGACATCGACGACCGTAGAGCCAGTGAAGACCCAAGAGGTGCCAGGTCGGAGCAGGCGGGCCTCCAGCGCAAACTCTGCAATGAGGCCCAGATCCGTGGCGCTCGAAGTAACAACTAGCACTGCCTTGGCGCCGCTGCTGCTCAGACTTTGCACGGCGTCCCGGATCGACTCTTCGCGGGTCGATTCATCTTCGGAGAACTCTTTGCTGACGAACGTCAACCCGACGCTCTGGCAGGCGGTCTTCGTCGCTACCTCGTAGGCACGGCCGTACGCGGACTGCTCATAGAGTACGGCCACGGTCGAGAGCCGAAGCTCGTGCTTCCAAAATGAACAGAGGTCAGAAGCGGGCGCAGGTTGCGATGGTATGGTCCTCATGAAGCGAGGGTAGAGGACGGTGTCCGACAGATCGCTCGACTGTGACCAGTAGGAGATCTGAGGAATGTCGAGAGCACCAGTGATGGCCGCGGTGGTGGCGGAGACGTCGCTACGAGCGGCTCCGATGACTACGTCTGGGGTAGCTGTCAAGTCCCATAGCGCCTGGACCGACTTGCCCGCTGTGAAGCCGCTGTCGAGCAGCCGGAAAAGAAGCTGCTTGTCGCACCCAGCCAAAGTCCCAAGCACGGGTAGAGCAGAAGCGTCCCGCGAGTTGAAGTCCGTAACTGCTGTAAGGGCGCTTGCAACGACCGCCTGCATTGGCTCTGGCACCCAGCACTTGCCGTTGACCCAGTTGCCGACTTCACAAGTTTCGGCGGTCGTGGAGCGCACGTTCGATTGCAAGGTGAGGATTGCGAGGCTCACGTTAGTGGAAGCGAGAGCCGGCAGCAGCAGCGACAGCATGGATGGCTGCCAGGGCCGGCCGGGTGACGAAAGGCAGCCGCCAGCCAGCAAAAACAGCCGCCCTCGGCAAGGCACGAAGTGGGACGCCGATGAAGACACGGGTCATGATCGACGGAGACTCCGCTGTGAAGCCCGCCCAAAGAAATCTTGGGCGGTCTTGGCCGCGTTGTCACACACTCCTTCAGCTTGTCACATCCGTTTTCTTTCTTTCTTTAGCAGTTCACCTTCGGGTATGTTCGTAACAAGAGCTGCTACGTACACTGAAAAATATGAGGCTTTGTAATCTCGAGACCTCGAGAGAGAGGCCACCGTAGGGCCCAAGTCAAGAATTGACTTTCTTTTGGCTGGCATCTCGCACTCTGTCATGCTCTCACCACCCTAGGGTTTGCTAACATCGAGCACGTGGTCGGAACCGCAACCCAGACATGCAGCAATCTGATCGTTTGCTGCGGGCGCCAAGAACGGGGCGATGGGTGGTGTCTCTGGCTCCCCAAACAAAGAAATGGGCGTTCCTCCCATACAATCAAGGATGACACGCCCTCCGATCGCCTTCGGAGGGACATCCGGCCCAACCCCTTGACACCCTTCGATGGCGACTCAGTGCGGCCTCGTACCGTGCGTGCCCACGACCGACACGGCGGCGGAGCGTGACTCTCACACAGCTCGGTTCAAGCTCCGTGCAGTCCGCGCCGCACTTGCGCGCCCAGTCTGGCGGCGTATCAGCCCGACGTGCCGCGAGTTTGGAGTCAGCTCGCCCGATTTGCGCGGCTGGATCAAAGACAGAGACGAGCTCGAGGCGCTGTGTGTGCTTGAGGCATACGTCGACGCTGTGCTTGAAGGACCGACGCTGCCCGATTCGCCGAGGTGCATCACTTGGCCTCACAACAGCACGGGGACGCTCCCTGAGCAGGAGGCTCCCGCCTCTGAGACCGGGCCTCCCATGTGTTCGAATGAGCCCCAGACGTGTCTGGCGAAGCTGTCGACGCGGCAGACGGCTTTCTGGCTCGATCCGCTCGAAGAACTGTCGGAAGAGAACTCGTGGTCAACGTGCCGGATGGCGTGGTCGCGCAATACACGCGGGAGCTAAGCGGCTTGGTTGCCCTCGGTTAGTCCGCTAGCGCTGGTCGGATGGAGGGCATCGATGCCGGCCGGCCGAGTCGTGAGAATGTCCGATCTTGAGCTCAGCCACGTGGCCGTCAGTGCCGTCGTGTTCAGTCGTTCGTTTGTCCAAGCAAAGAGAGATGTCATTGTCTTCTGTGTTCTGACGGTGATACACGAATGCCATACAGTGTACAAGCCGTATCTGTGAGTACGTCCAGCATGTGTCTTAGATAGAGTGTACCGATTCGTGTGTCCCATATGTGTCCGTGTGTGCATCCGTGTTCGTAAACGTACTGAGAAAAGGGAGGAGTCGAGCTCGAGCACAGGCTGAGGGTCTCTCTTCGGTTCGTACCGCAAGAAGGACGCATTTCTCAATACAACCTCTCCCTCTCTACCTCCTCTACGCGGGCAGCCGCGTCGAAGTACGGAGGGGCCCTTCGCAGAGGGCGTTCGGTTCAAGCTCCGTGCAGTCCGCGCCGCACTTGCCCGCCCAGTCTGGTATCGCATCAGCCCGACGTGCCGCGAGTTTGGAGTCAGCTCGCCCGAGCTGCGCGGCTGGATCAAAGACAGAGACGAGCTCGAGGCGCTGGGTGTGCTTGAGGCATACGTCGACGCTGTGCTTGAGGGACCGACGCTGCCCGATTCGCCGAGGTGCATCACTTGGCCTCACAACAGCACGGGGACGCTCCCTGAGCAGGAGGCTCCCGCCTCTGAGACCGGGCCTCCCATGTGTTCGAATGAGCCCCAGACGTGTCTGGCGAAGCTATCGACGCGGCAGACGGCTTTCTGGCTCGATCCGCTCGAAGAACTGTCGGAAGAGAACTCGTGGTCAACGTGCCGGATGGCGTGGTCGCGCAATACGCGCGCGAGCTAGGGCGACTCCCACTACGGCTAGAGGGGGGGGGGGGGGCAGGAAACGGCTTGGTTGCCCTCGGTTAGTCCGCTAGCGCTGGTCAGATGGAGGGCATCGACGCCGGCCGGCCGCGTCGTGAGTCCGATCTTGAGCCACAGCACGTGGCCCTCAGTGCCGTTCGTTTGTGTCCAAAAAGAGCCGTGTCGTCACGACTCTCTCGTGTACAACAAAATCTGTGAGTACGGCTCTACGTTGTCCAAGCATATCGCATGTGTCTTAGATAGAGTGTATCGATTCGTGTGTCCCTTATGTGTCCGTGTGTGCCGCCTCCCGGTGTGGGTGTGGCGTCGGCGTGTGAGGTGTGTGCGGCGTGTGTGTGCGTAGTAGGTGTGTGTGTGTGGTGTGTCAGAGAGACGACAGACGAGTCGTGTGACTGTATGTCTCTGAGAGTCGAGCCGACAGCCGAGACGCGAGAGACAGAGATCAGAGAGGGTCTGTCGGTCGTGCAGACAGCAGAGAGAGAGAGACGCAGCGCCAGAAGTGCAGCGAGAGCCTCCTCTTCGGGGTCGGATATATTATAACTGGCGCCACTACATAACGGTCCGGACCAATACCGCCTGCTGAAATGGATAACAGACCAAAGCTCTCAGTGAAAATCTTGAGCCCAGCCTAACTAAGGAGAACGTTAACGAGAAAGCGGAGAGAAACCGGCGGCACGGCGGTCGTTGCGTGCAATAAGCCACTAACAATTCTCCTCGGCGATACCAGAATGTGTCAGCTTGCTCGCTTCGCTCGACTCTTGCCGCGCACTCGCCGCCGGCATAGACACGTCGCCAGCAGCAGGCCGGCGCACGGCAGCATGACCCCGCTCCCTCCGAGCGCGGCGCTGCCCGCGGGCCCGAGTCTCCAAAAGTCGCCGCCCTCCACGGCCCCTTTGCGGAGGTTGACCCCGCGTAGGTAGGGCACCCGCCGCGGGAGGCTCGCGTTCGGCTCGCTCTCGCCTCCGCCGGTAAGCACCCACGCCGCGGCGATCGCCCGGTGCTGGCCCTCCTCGATCGAGTAGCGCGCCGACTCCTCGCACGGCGATGCGGCGGCAAAGGTGAGCGAGACGGCCTCCGCGGCCGTGGCGTGCCGAGCAAAGATGCGGGCGCCGCGCGCGAGGCGCGCGAACGAGAGCGCTTCGGAGAGGCTCACGGCCGAGAGCAGCCAGGGCACGCGCAGCGCCGCGGCCTGCATCCCGCCGAGTCTCCGGATGACAGACACGACCTGCCGCAGGCTGCGCCCCTCCGCCAGCAGCGCGCGGTTACTGTCCCCCGACCAACAGACGAAGCAATCGAGGAACGTGTGGATAGGCGCGGAGCCGCTCAGCAGCTCACGATCCTCCGGTGCGCCGAGGACAAAGTCGCGGACCCGGGCCTTCTCGTCGGGCGCGAGGAGCGCGAGCGCCGCGTCCGCGTCGATGGGCCTCTCGGCCACCATGTTGCAATACGCACGGCAGCAGCAGCAGCGTGCGGACACCCAGGCGGCGACACCCAGTGGCGGCAGCAGCGCCTGGATTTCTTGCAGACGCGTTTCGTCTTTCTTTGAAGGGTGTTTACGGGGACAACGCGGCTTCACCTGGCAGCCAGCCAGCGATCAACAAGAAGGAGCGCCTTCTTTCTTTCTTTTTTGCGGAGGGTTCATAGGAAAACTGAGGCTGAGGCCTATGCGGAAATTCTCTGGTTTGGAAAATTCGTCATTTCTGCTTGGCGCGCGACGCGCAGCGGTGTGTGTGGCGTGGCCACCTCCGCGACCTCTGCCGCCGTCCGCGTGCATGGCATCAACTCTTTCCAAACGGCCTCGCGGGAGATGGCCGGCGTGATGCTCATCGCAAACCTCTCGACCGCCTCCAGCATCGCGTCCCTGAGCAGCGAGCGGCCGGGGGGGAGCATCCGCCACGTGCTCTCAAAGTCCGCCGTCAGACCGATCACGTCCTTCACCGCGAACGTCACCTCGGGCAGATCCGCATACTCGGGAAGAGGCCGCAGACGCACGCCCATCACCGCCTGCGTGCCGCCGAGCATGCACGGGCCTTTCCCGACGACGACGTGCGGGTGGTCCGCGTAGTCGACGATTCTCGCGCGGACGTGAGTGGCGAGGAAGACGAGCCGACCGATCCTGTGCTCCTTCTTCCGCCTTGAGCCCGAGTTAGGGCGGTTCGGCTTCTTGCTGTGGCGCACCTCGCCCTCCTCGAGCGGGTCGGGCTCGGCGCGGCTCCTCTTCTTGAGGTCGCGAGGACGCTGCGGGCCGGAGAGTGTTCCCTAATCGGGGCACGCGCGCGCGGTCGATTAGCGTGGGTGGGGGGAGGGGGGGAGCACGCGCGGCTCGCCTCCCGCATCATCCGCTGCACGGCGGCCTCCACCGACTGCGGCGGCGTGTTGATGTGCGAGTAGGGCCGCCCCTCGCCAACGGTGATCCAGCCCTCCCACTGCGCCGTCGGAGAGTGGGGGCGCATGGCGGGCGGCTCGTCGAAGGTCTTTGCGACCGCTGCGGCCAGCATCGGCGAGAAGCGCTCGACAATCTCCTCCCCATGTTTTTCCTTGCGCTCGCACCACGTGCCGAGGAGAAAGGGGTCAAAGTCGCCGCGCACGTACACCTCGAACGCGTCCATGCAGTTGATGTGGGCGTCCTTGTCCCCGCAGATGGCGGCGTAGACCTGTTGGCACGCCCGAGGAAAGCCTGTATACTCCTTTCCGAGCAGCTGCCGCGCCCTCGCGAACCTCTCGGCCTCAAAGGCCTGCACGCCGAGCGCCCTTGGTGGCCCGCACACGCGGACGACACGCGTGATGCCGAGCCGCTTCGCGTCAAAGTCGATGACCTCGAGCACGACGATCGGGACTCGATGCCCGCCGATGCGCTCGCGGTAAGTGACGAGGAGGCGAGGCACTCGCATTTGTGTACGGCGCGCGGCGTTTATTCTCTTCTGTGGTGAGCCGGTGTGTGTGCCAGTCCGCGCCAGTCCGCGCCCTTGTCGTGCCAGTGCTGTGAGAGAGGCGGTTTTAAGAATTCTCTTCTGTGGGGCAAAGCCCTTGGGCAGGCCCTATGCCTCCCTTTTCTTTTTTGTTTTTCTGGCACTCACGAACACATCACATACTCATAAGCAACCTTGTCGCCAATGCAGGAGCTGACTGACGGATACTACGCAGCCTGCGGCTGCTGCTGGCGTTATTGAGCCTTGCGTCCGCCCAACGTGCCTGTGTACTCGCTTAGTGTGGGTAAACCATAAAAGTAGGTTTGAATTGTCCACGTAAGGCTTGGTGAGTGGTTGGGGTGGCCTCAGGCATCCCCAAGGGAGCCTCTGCGGTGCCACATAAGCAGCTTAGTGATTGTCGAGACTTTAAAGTATTCGTCGGAAGAAACGCGAACAAGACACGACGGTACTATGGTCACCAGTAAACCATAATTCGACTTTGAGGGATCATATCTCAAAAATCCGGGAGATAGCATAGCCTTATTGTTGCATATTATGCCACATAAGGTCAAACTCGACCCCACAAGCATCAAGAACCCGATGCTCCGGCTCGACTGTGCCGGCACACTGCCTCCTCGCGCCAGATGCTCGCAGGCCGTCGCGGCCCGTGGTGCACCAGAGAGAGAGGTCGACACGTTGCCCCCGCCGGCGAGTCCGCGCGGCTCAGGCCGGCCAGAAGGTGTGTGGTGGCGGCACCGTGGCAGGATTGCGGAGAAGAGCTCGCCGAACGCGAGCAGCAGATGGCCAAAGTGTGCCAGCGCGAGAGCCTCGCGAGCGGGCGCAGAAGGAGCTCGCCGTGACACGATGCCGGGCGGTGGTGGTGCTCTGGCGGCTGTGCACAGTGGGCAGGGCCAGGCTGCAGCAGGGCAGCACGATGGTAGTGCCCTGCTGCAGCCTGGTCTGACATGCACAGGGCGAACAGAGGCGGTACTATCGTCCGGCGCTCGTCGTCGAATCTGGGCCAACTTCGACCGCCGCCACAGCTCGCCACGAGCACGCAGCGACAAAATGTTGACTGTACGGAAGTTGAGGCTGGTCGAGAGGAAAAGGCTGCCGTGCAAGCCGGCAGCAGGCCGGCTCGGCGTGGACTGCCGCGGCGACTTTTATGGGCTTCTCTGTTCATAGTACCGTATACGGTACTATGGTTTACCCACACTAAGCGAGTATGCCTGTGTGCGTCGCGACAGCGCGGAGGCCTTCCCTCGGCCGGGTAGTGGCGGCTCCCCTCGCCACGAGCGCTGCGGACGAGCAGGTGGAGGCGGGCCGGCTGCTTGATGCGGCAGAGACGCCTTGCTGTCTGTCTCTGAGGGAGGGTGTAGAGGATGTAGAGTGTAGAGCGCTGTAGAGCTGTAGAGATGTAGAGCTGTAGAGATGTAGAGCGCTCTGGAGCGCTGTAGAGCTGTAGAGCTCTACATCGGCTGCGTGACGAACTGCCTCCGTTGTAGAGCGATGTAGAGCGCGATTTTGTTGTAGAGTTTGTTGTAGAGGCTCTACAGCAAAACCGCCGGGAAGGCAGTGACTCAAAGAGGTCGAGTCGCACTAATGGGGTGTCTCCGAGCTTACTGGAGCTCTGATGGACGGCCCTGACTATCCCTGACACACAGAGAGTCACTCTGACGGCACACAACACCCTATAACTGCGTCATGACCAGCCTGCCATGCGTCGCCGGTGCCGCATTCGTCGCTGTGCTTCTTTAGCAGGCGGTGGACTGTCGGCTGCGAGGACGGTCGCATTTGCGCGAGGCGAGGCGAGCATTTAGACGCGTTGCATGCGCCATGACTCGCGCCAGCGCGTGCGGGAGCTCCTGGCTGAGCGTTGAGTCCAAGCGAGTTGCGCTGGCCACGATCGCTACGCCGAGCCGAGCTGACGCGCCGAGGCGCCGGCCAGTCGCAGCCGCGAGGCATGCCACAGCAGCAGAGGCACCTGCCACCCATTGGGCGGGCAGACAGAAGGCCAGGGCAGCACTGGCAAGTGCAACGCGCCTCATGTCGGAGAGCGACCGTGCCTCGTTCGCCGCTTATTGGCTGCAATAGCGCGCGGGCAACGCTGCTCGGCCACTCGGTCGCGCGCCACGGTGGTCCCGCCCACATACTCGGCGCGAGTCTCAACCTCCGCAGAGTAGTTCTGAAAGGAGTTGGTCCTCAGGCAGGCCGGGAAACTCGAGCGGGTAGTCTTCAGCATGCTGATCACATGCCGAGAGAGCAGGGCGGGATGCCCATCGCTCGCTCGTGGAGTAATGTGACCAGCGGCGGCGGCGAGCGATGCAGCCCCCACGACGGCGCTCCCCATGGGATCAACGCGCGCCGCCGCCGTGAAGACGGGCCCCAAGCAGCGGGTCATGTCAGACAGGGCTGCGAACGGGACGTCGGCCGTAGGGTCGCAAAGAGCCCCGACCGTCGCGTACTGCAAGAAGTCGACGGCCTTCGCTTCTGCAGATGGCGCTGGTCCCAAGGGCACGATAGCCTCAGAGTGCCCCAAATCGCCCCACTGCAGATAGAGCTCGGGCACCGGGATTTGGCGGGAGTGCAGAGCCTGGATGCACACCGTACGGAACGCATCCTCATCCACGTGCACCGTGCCGAAAACGCCGAGGTCGGACAAGGCACCGAGGATGCGGCGCCAAGCCGCGGCCGATACGGCCAGCCGCAAGACGCTGAGCCTGTCAAAGTGGGCGGCCACAGCGGGCTCGGGCTCACTGAAGGGGAGCAGCGCACTGATGGCGACCCACTGCGGAATCTGGGCCCACGACGGTTGCATCCCCGGAGGAGGAGGGGGCAGCTGGAGGAGGGCCGGATTGCCCACCACAGACCACGGAATGAAGCGCATAGTAGAGCCTACCACTGTTGAGTCGACGGGTATCACCAGTGGCTTTGCGGGATCGGGGTGCTGCTCGGCCGGAATGCTGAGCTCGGCGGCCGTGAGGTCTGGCATCGCGGCGCCGGTCGTCTCGTCGAGGGCTACCTCTCGATTCTACTCCCGTGTCACAACAACGAGGCACGAGAGCGTGCACGACAGAGCGACGGCGCAGCGTACCGCCGTCCAGCTAAAAAGCGGCGGCCGACGGTTGCTGCGCAAAGTGATCAGTTCTAAAATAGGTGCCGGGGCCCAACGGATAGATGAATCCGGGGCACCCTCCGCTCGAATCCCTGGCCGGGGTTCGAGGTGGCCCCCACCCTGGGGCCTCCCATCAAAGGGACTGCGGCAGAAGACGCCCAATCTTGCACAAGTGCAAGAACCATACTTGTAGAGCGCCTCTACATCGCTCTACAACGGAGGCAGTTCGTCACGCGGCGGATGTAGAGCTCTACAGCTCTACAGCGCTCCAGAGCGCTCTACATCTCTACAGCTCTACAGCGCTCTACACTCTACATCCTCTACACCCTCCCTCAGGTCTGTCTGAGCGGGACGCTCACGGCGGACGCGCTGCTGGTGGCCGTCGAGGCTAGTGGGAGACCGCACAATTTTTCCTAAGGATATCTCACAGAATCTCACATGCATGCACCCTGAACCTCGTCCCCATCGGCGCCACCGTTTCCCATACCTTCAACTCCGGAGTAACGCTCCACCAGGCAGCCGATATCTCCGTCCTTCTCGTTCTCTTTGTTGTACCCGCCCGCAGCGTACAGCTTACCGCCACGGCGTGCGAGTCTCGCCGTCTCGCGCTGTCGTCAGTGACGAGTGACCCTCCCCCGGGGGGCCCGATCACGGGCCTCATTTCCGCAGAAAAGAAAGAAAGAAAGAAAACAGACACGCCAAACGAGGGATGGGAGGAGGACAGGGTCCCCACCTGCACGAGCAGGATTTTGGAAGGACGATCAGGGGGACAGGTGGGGCTCTCCTGCTCCTGACAAGGGACACGACAGGTTTGCAGCGCGGTGCGCGGTGGACTCCCACATCCACTGGCGGTCTCATCTCAGTCTAGCGACCTGCCTCCAGCTTGTCGCTGGCAGTCTCTCGCACATGCACACTGACACAGGGGTGGCAGGGGCGGCGGCACGAGTCTCCCACATACTATGCGGGCCTCACTAGAGGTGCGACTGTAGGAAACAAACTGAGTCTCCTTCTTTTGCAGAGTGAAAAGCGGAAAATTCTCTGGTTTGCGAAGTCTCGTCATTTTGTGTTTCCCCACGCGACTCCCGCTTCCACCGTCCGGGCCACCAGTGGCCGAGACCTCTGGACCACGCACGTAGCAAATGCAGTGCGCCTACTGCACCAGCCAACTGGTGAGCGGGGGAAGCTGGTACATGCTCGCTGATCGTCGGTATTGCTGTCAAGAGCACCGCCTGAGCGCACACGCTGCGGCGGCCGCGGCAGCAGCGGCTCGCTCCTCGCCAATCCCTATCCCGATGCAGAAAGTTTGTCGCCCGAAGCGTGTAGGCAACCCGCTCGAAGCCCTCCGCGTCTGCGCCAATGCAATGCAGCGACCAAGCAGCGACCTGGTGCTGCGCTAATGCTTGAGCACCGTCCCGGCGGAAAGTCTTTTACGTGTCCGTTCAGCCTCCCAGTCGTATGGATACTCATTCAAGGCGGAACTCCAGTTCACACAGCGCACGCACGACGAATCGTGCGCGCGAGTCCGTCGCAAGCGATATCCTCTCGTCAGGGCCTTGCGCTGCTTGCGACGATCGCTCCCAACGCCTCGCCACACGCCTGGCCGCTCGACCGCCCCTTTGACGTGGTGGCGAATACTGAACGCATCCCATGTAACGTGGCATCCCCCGCATGCTCACGCAGCGCTGCATTCCGCGTCTTTCCTCTCTCCGCCGCCGTCAGCGCTGGGCATGTGCGAGTGCCTCTCAGAGATATGTCAGAGTGTCGTGACCCCGTGTGTCGGGGACTCGGGGGCTGTCACAGTGTTTGCCAAGGTGCAGCGACCGATGCGGCGGCCCTTGCGGTTGCGCGCACTCCCTGGGACTGGTCTCGCGTGGTATATGTTCCTTTTGCCCCGAGCGACGTGTCCCGAGTCGTGCCGCGACAATACTCATGTCAATTCTCAACGATAACTTCTCCTCTCGGCTCTCCAAAACCGCCTCAACAGCAGCGCCGCTCCAGCTGTCTCGAGACCTCACAGCTCACACCTCTGAGAATGATGCCTCTGACTACCGCGACCAAATCTGCGGCGCGGTTCTCTCTCCGCTCCCCCGGCTCTAGGACACCGCCCGCGCCTAAGGCTGATGCAAAGCCAGCGGGACCCGACGGCATGGGAGACCTCCCGCTCGCCGACCGCCCCCCCGCCCCTCCCCCTAGCGGCGCGAGCCCAGCGCGAGGCCGACAGCGATGCCGAGCACGAGCCAGGCGAGGGAAGCGAGCGCGCCGCTGCCGCCGCCGCCGCCGCCGCCGCCGCCGCCATCGCTGCCGCTGCCGCTGCCGAACACCGCGCGGGGAGAGCCGATCGATATCTCGCTCGGCGGCGGCGGCGGCGGGGCGTCCTCTCTGCGCGGCGTGCGCGGCGTTGCGGCGTGGTTCTCCTGGGTCCACTCGCCGATGAGTGGTGAGAAGAAGCGATGGGAAGGGCGGGGCAGGGCAGGGCAGGTAGCAGTCCGCCTTGATCCACTCGCCGATGAGCGGCGCCAGCTGCATCACGTGCACGCGCTGCGGCGCCCCGGCCTGGGGGGGAGGGGGGGGGAGGTGGGGGGTGG